CTTAAGGAGAGTCACATGAAGAGAAAACATTCTCTCAGGCTTTCAGAGAAAGCACATTGGCCAAGCAATGGCCATGACTCATCCACATGGCTGACACTGACAAATGTTCTACAATCTGAGGTACAGGATCTCAGGATAAATCGTGAAGTGATTTCACTGATCTTATCAGACCCAAAAGCTACAACTCTTGTTGCATAGTTCCTGCTTTAACTTGGTCTTAACCATCTAGCAGAAAAGTATAAAAATGAAATATAAGAAGTAAAGCCATGCTGTTATGCTGAGCTATAGGGGACTCAATTCAGCAATTTCTGACATTGCCAGTCAAGCAGAAGACCCAATACTATTATGGGCTACTGGACTCTTTTAGAATATTTTGCTGAGTTTGCACACCTATAATATTCAAATAATGGAACTTAGCAAGAAAAAGGTATACAGATGTATGTCCATTTTGTATCTGTGTATTCAAATTGGTTAGGACAGATATATAGTTATATTCTCTTAATGAATAGAGTGATTTGTTCTAATGGTGTTTGTAAATAGAATATCATGTCCACATCTAGTACAGCAATTAACCACTAGGAAAAATGTATGCAATGTGCTAATTATTGAAACTATCCTACCAATTTGATTTGAAACTATCTCACTGCTATTTGTTTATCAATAAAATCATGGGACAGAAAGATGCAAAAAAAATTAAAGCCATATGATTATGCTGAGCTGTAAAAGGCTCAAGCCAACAACTTCTGACACTGCCAGTCCTCCAGAAAACTCACTACTATCATGTACTACTGGACTATATTGGAATGTTTTGCCGAATTCACACACCTGCAATACTTAAATGACAATGGAATACCTTTCTCTGACAAAACTAAACACAAGAGGGGATACAAATGAAAGACCATTTTGTATCAGTATATTCAAAATAGCATAGATGTACAGGTACTTTCTCTTAGTTCAATGAATAGAAAGATTTGTTCTAATAGTTTTTGTGCACCGAATATCCTGTCTGCATCTTGTACAATGAATAACCACTAAGACCACAAGATGCAATGTATTAATTATTGAAACTGTCTTACTAATCAGTTTTGAAACTGTCTCGTTGCTATTTGTTTCTCAATCAAATTATTAAAAAAGAAAGAAAACTCAGCATTTTATTGAGAATCAAGTTTAATGCAAATGTTCCCACTTGCAGTGCATTAAATCAGTGTAAAATTGCAAATGATACAGAAAATAGACAAGAGAATATAAAAAGCATTCAACTGGAAAAAATAAAGGTCTCATTTTTATAGATGATATGATCATATATGTGAAAAACAATGAAGAACCTCTCACTTTCCCCATCATATACAACTTTTAGAAACAATAAACAGTACAATTGCAAGATACAAAATTAACATACAAAAAATCAGTTGAACTTTTACATATAAATAGACAAAATAATTGAAAAAATTAAAAAAGCATCTCATTTAAAATGAAGAATAAAACATTTGAATATAAGTTTAACAAACTTGTAAATGATTTCCATGCTAAAAACTACCAAAAAAAGAAGAAAATACCTCCTCAATGTCTGTCATACAAGAAACAGAAGTAGAAGAGACAGAAATGAAGTGGCCAGGGATCGAGTATATTCCCCAAGAGATGACCTCTATGAACTACTCAGATGAACTCAAAAGTGTGACTCACTCATCTCATAAGCATTCTTCAAGCCAATCAAGTTTACAGTCAATATCTACCATCACAAAATGGTAAGCACGGTATTATAAGTTTATTGAACTCATGCATGTACAGAAAATTGACTTTTGGCAGGGTGACAAGAATTTATGATGGTAAAATCATACCCTCTGAAATAAATAAATTGGGAAAGCTGTATATACAATGCCAAAGAATGGAATCAGACCCTTTGTTGAGGCTATAAAAAAACTAAAACTGCATCAAAGATTCAAACATAGAAAATAGCAAAGGTCCTAAAAGAAAATATAGAGGGAAACTTTAATGATATAAAACTTAGGGCAATAGTTCCTTGAGTATAATATCAAAATCTCAGATGACATGTCAAAAATAAACTAGTAGGGATATATCAAGCCGACAAGTTATGCACAAAAAAGAAACCAATAGAATGAAAAGGCAACGTGTGTAATAAATAAAAACATTTGTTGAGTCATACAGTAAATCAGAGGTTAATATCCAAAGTATGTTAGAAAATCCAGCAATTAAATACAAAAAGGTTCAAATGTACAAAGGGCCTAAATAGGTATTTTCCCAAAGAAAATGTATAAATTCCCAACATTGATTGAGAAAGGTTCTCAACTTCTTTATTTATCAGAGAATTTCTGGAAAGTATTATACCATTTAGGTCCATTAGAGAAAAAAAAATTGAAAAAATCTAAAGGTAACAAATCTTGCCAAAAGATGTTGAGAGACGTGTATATTGTTGGCAGGAATGTAAAATGCAGCAATTACAAAGAACAATATTCACGTTTCCCAAAGCATATGAATCTCACTATCATATGACCCACATATCATCAATTTGTATCTATGTACAAAAGAAATAGAAGGCAAGGTCATAAAGAGATGTGTATTTATGAATGTACATTACATCATTACTTACAATAGCTAGGATATAGAAACAAACTAAATGTCCATCGACAGATTAGCAATGTGTGATACACATACAATAGGATGTTCATACTTATATGATAAGGAAATCTTGCCATATGCAGCAACCTAGATGAGCCTGAAGGCCATTATACTGAATTAAATTAGATAGTTGTAGAATAAATAATAATTCATGTAAAAACATCAAATTCATAGAAACAGAGTAGAATGTTGAATGGGGGAAATGAGGAGTTACTACTTAATGAGTATAAAATCTCAGTAATGTGTAAGGAGTAAATTCTAGTCCAGCACTAAGGTCACTGAGCTATCTCTACAGTCCCCCATAGTGAGTAAACTCTACAAATCAACTCTAATTTTTTCTTACACTTATCAATACTATACTATACAGTAAAAATTTTGTGAAGAGGATATGTTTACTGCTGTATTCTTTCCATATTTAAAAAGGGGGTGTTGGTAAAATCTTTGGAGATAATAAATATATTTATTACCTGTATAGTAGTTTCATGGATGTATACATATGTCTATAAATATCAAATCTTAAACTTTGAATATATACAATTTCAAATCCAAGGAAAAACTAACATCCTTTCAAGCTTGTTGTACTTTCAATTTACTATATGTTTATACCCTTATTATTCCTGTATGCTATGTCCTCTTCCCATATCTATCATTTTACAAAGGATTGCAACCAGCATTAAAAGCAGACTAGGCCAACCAGATATCTCAGTGGATTAAAGCACACACTTAGACAGGCAAAGGGGCCAGGGTTCAATCCCAGGCATGCTGTGCCAAACTTACCCCTGGGGTGTGCTGAGACGGTGATTGAGACTGGGCATGATGGTGTGTGCCTGTAATCCCAGCACTTGGGAGGATGAAAACAGGAGGATCACTGTGAGTCTGATCTGTATAATGAGACCCTCTAGACCCTGTACTAAATATATAAAAAATAATAAAAAAGCAGAGTAAACTACCTATGAAGCAATACTCAAAACTAAAACAGGATATATATATATATATATATATATATATTAATTTATAATAAAGCAAAATGTCTTATTCTGTCTTATTCTGTTCAAGTAGGTATAGTGATTAATATCATTAGCATGTGTATTACTTGAAATCTACATAAACAAACAAAATTTTTTCAGTTATTTATATCATTGTATCATGAAAATGAATCAAATCATTCCATAATGAATTTAGGACTGGATTTTTAAGCTCATTAAATAAATGCCAAATAATGGAAATAGTTGTAATTATGAAAAGAGACAAAAATAAAATAGAGAAGCTAACCCTGGACACATTCAGTGCTTTTCTGGGTAAAATTCTATGTGTGCCTCAGTTATAAATCACATTCAGATCAATGTCTTGAGATAAATATCTTTTTCACAACATCCTTCAATGCTTGCTTCACCTGTTGGTTCCTAAGTGTGTAAATAAATGGATTCAACATAGGAGCAACAGAGGTGTTGAGCATAGCTACCACTTTTGTCAAGGCAACTCCTTCAGTTGCTGAGGTTTTCACATACATGAAGATGCAACTTCCATAGGAGATGGAAACAACAATCATATGTGAGGAACAAGTGGAGAAAGCCTTTTTTCTTTGTTGACTTGAAGGGATTCTCAGAACTGTTCTGAGGATGTAAGTGTAGGACAGAATTACTAGTGCCAATGTGGTCATCAGAGTGACTAAAGCTATAACAAAGCTCATAAGCTCTATCGTGCTCGTATCTGTACAAGAGATTTTCAGCAAAGGGGCAGAGTCACAGGTAAAATGGTCAATAATGTTGGAGTCACAGAAATCTAGCTTTAAGCCCATCACCAGTGGTGGGAAAATTACAAAAAACCCAGCCAACCAAGAACTTACGATGAGCTGGTAACAGATCTTGTTACTCATGATAGTTGTATAATGTAGGGGCTTGCAGATAGCCACATAGCGATCATAGGACATAGAAGCCAAGAGGAAAAATTCTGTTGAGCCAAGAAAAATAAAGAAAAATAGCTGAGTTACGCAAGCATTGTAGGAAATAGATCAGTCCCCTGTTATAATGCTGACCAAAAATCTAGGGTTACAGACAGAAGTGAATGAAATTTCTAAGAATGAAAAATTCCTGAGGAAGAAATACATGGGTGTCTTCAGATGGGAATCCAGCAGGGTAAGAGTTATAATAGTTAGATTTCCGGTAACACTCAGTATATATGTCAGAAATAAAAAGAAGAATATCACAACCTGGAGTTCTGGATTATCTGTCAGACCCAGGAGGATGAAGACTGTCACAGATGTTCTATTTCTCATTTCTGATGGTTGGTTTATGACAGATAAACTCAACATGGGAAACAATGAAATATGAGTCAAAGGAGAAACATATATATCTGAGCATGTTTTTCAAGTACAATGGCATATTCACATAAAACATTTAAAATTATTTTCACATTTATGTGTATATTTCCCACTTTGTAAAAATCTACTATATTTAAGATAAAACTTCTATGTTTAATATCAATCTCTAAATATTTTCACTGTCTGCATCAATTACTTTTATCACTGAAAATATAAAAATTTAATAGAAATTATTCTGATATCTCATTATGTAATAATATATATGAAGTAAATTATTCCTCTCCTTTATCATCTTTTCTAGAAATAAAAATTCTTACAGATCAATGAAATCAATGATTCACTCAAATTTCTAAGAAACATTCTACATGCCCTTTCTGAGAAGTTGTCACTGACTCCTCCATTAGCTTTTCTTTTCCCGTTTTTATATTTTTATTTTTAAAGAGAATAAAAAATAATAAACATACATTAGAAAAGATACAGAATTACACTAAACAAAATGATAGGAATTCAACAATGGTTGTTATGTTGCATATTGTTGTCTTTCTTCCAAAAACAGTCAACAAATAGCAATCTTGTGTTTTGATCATTTTAAAATGATTTATGTAAGTACTATACTTTCTTGCAATTCACTACATATTACATTTATATTACTGAAGACTTTGAAAACCCTGCCTTCATTCTTGACTTTAAAAACAAATTTTAATTTTTTCCATTAAAATTCAAGTAACATCAGTTGGTTTTTTTTTTCAACTTATTGTTTCAAAATTGTTAAAATTTGTTATAAAATCTAGTTAGGCATTAAAAATACCTGGTCAGACCTTATGGTTTTCTAAAAATATAAATTGACAATATATTCTAAAAGTCGGTTCATGGAATTATGGAGTTTGAGAAATCCCACCATCTGCAGTCATCACGAAGAGCTGGTGGTATTTTTCCATTCTGAATCTGAAAACCTGAGAACCAGATCCAAGTTGTAAGTATAGTCTGAGGAAATAAAGACTGATAACGTATTTCAAACTGTCAGGCAGAGAGATCTTGAATTCTTCTATCTTTCAATTAATTAACTTTAGTGGTATATTTTAGGTATATGTAATGATCACTTTCATCATATGGAATTTGGACCTGTACATAATATGACTTGAATCTTTCTTTCCCATTCTCCTTTTTTGCACTCAATACCTCTTTCTCTCCTTATTTGCAATGACTTTGTTTCCATTTTTTTCTCTTTCTTTTTTTAATTCTTTTCCCTTACTTCCTTTCTCTCTTCAATTTCTAACTTCCACTTCCTAATTGAACATTTTCTTCCCATTTCAAAATATCTGGTTTGCATTTTTGTCCTTATTTACACTGTCAGCTTCTCACACCAGAGAAATCATGGAATATTTAAATATGTGTTTGACTTATTATTTTAATGCTTTATTCAAATACTTATATATGGAAGTAAGATTGAAATAAGTATGCTATTTAATACCTTCTTGGACATCCACATCAGTAACAAGTATCATGTCTTTCTATATTGTAGATGTACAGATATTAAGGAGTGTAGTCTGTGTTCCATATATTTCCATTAATTGCTGAAGCAATCATTTAATACACTTTCACATTTCCATCTATCAAGTAAACTATTACATATAAATATAATCTATACATAAAACATAAAAATAAGAAATACCAAAGGAGATAAACAATGCTGCATAATAAATACAATAGAATGAGTAAAAGGTGAAATATGACATGAAAATAATCATACAATACTTACCTCTTTTCAAAATGTTGATTGTTAAATTTAAATGTCATACACAAAGCAATATGCTCAATTCACTGAAATTAAAATGATGCAGCGGGTCACTACTACACAGAGAAAGTAAATCTTTTCATTCTCCTCCAACATATTTTCAAATTCCTTGGTATTTCATTTTCTAACATCCAGTGAAATATTTTCTTCATGGTTTTCTCTAACATTGTCCAACATGTGTAATGTGGGCATATTCCAAACCCACTACCTTAGCAGCATATCATTAGATGAAAGTTACTCTCCCCCTAGTAAGCCACCAAAATAGTCATTAAAGTGTTCTTCTGCAGTTTATTTCCAAAATATACTTCAGAGAGGACAAATTCTTAATGACTTTTGGGATATGTAATAACAGGGCATTAATGACTCTGTGTACAAGATCAATATGAGCAATAACATTTTAATTAGTTGATTATAAAACTTGTGTCCCAGGAGAAGAGTTGGAAATATTAGCAAGATATCAGTTTGGTATTTGGGAAATCATGAAGTCTAAGAAAATGAAAAAAATCCACATATATTCTTTCACATTTATCTTCATAGGACTCATGCATTATTAAACTGGGCAAATAAAGTTTAAAATATACAAGGCAAATTCGTCCATAAATCTATTAAGAAAAAAGTTGAAAAACAACAGCTGAAATCATTAAAGATTATTATGGCCCATGGTTATAGTTAAAATGCACATAAGGAGAATCACTGTTGACCTAATATTCATTTAGAATTGGAGGCAATTCAAACTTCACATTTACATTTTTTTACAGAAGATCAAAATAAGCATTGGGTAACTTTCATACATGACAAAGAAAAAATGAGGTTAAAATGATGTTTGAAGAAAAAGTAACAGATATATATATTTTTTCCTTTTCCCCTTTTACTTTTCAAAAAAACTTATTTACATTTTTAAAATAATTTTATTGAGAAACAAATAGCAATGAGACAGTTTCAAAATCGATTAGTAAGACAGTTTCAGTGATTAACACATTGCATACTGTTGTCTTCTTACTGGTTATTCATAGTACAAGATGCAGACATGATATCCTGTACACTAACACTATTAGAACAAATCTTTCTATTCATTGAATTAAGAGAAAGTAGCTGTATATCTATCCTATTTTGAATATACTGATACAAAATGGTCCTTCATTTATATCCCCTTATTTTGTTTAGTTTTGTCAGGGAAGGGTATTCCATTGTCATTTAAATATTGCAGTTTCATGAATTCAGCAAATTATTCCTGTATAATCCAGTAGTCCATAATAGAGTAGGTTTGCTGTAGGACTGGCAATGTCAGAAGTTGTTGACTTGACTCTTTTAAAGCTCAGCATATTAATATGGCTTTACTTTTTATACTTCGTTTTTACACATTTCTGCTGGGTGATTAAGACCAAGATAAAGCAAGACCTATATAACAAGAAATGTAACTTTTGTATCTGACAAGGTCTGTCAAACCCCTCAGGATTTATGCTGAAACCTGTACCACAGTTTGTAGATCTTTTGTCAGTGTCAGCCATGTGGATTGGTCATGGCCATTGCTTGACCAATTTGCTCTTTTTGAAAGACTGAAATAAACTTTTCTCTCTATGTGACTTTCTTTAGGCACACTCTACATCATTGGTCACATTCATCTGTGTCACATAATCTCCTTCATCAGAAAATTTGGGACTCAACTGAGATACATGATGTTACAGTACAGATTCTCCTATGTCCCGAGCCCTTTGAAAGGCAAGGGCCAAAATGTTGAATGCCTTTGCAGCCCTTCTTTTTCTCTAATTTTTGGTCAGTAAACTTAGTTTTTTTTAACTCTCCAGAAGACAAGGTTATTATTATTACCCTACAAAATAACCAGTTGAGCTTAACCTCACTATCTGTCTGAATATTAAAAATCTTAGCCATAACATAGAACAGGCATTTTCCATTAAGTACTGATATGTTAAAGTTTAAGTCCCTATAGAATATGAAGGAAAAAATTAAAAAATATTTATAGAAGTAGGAATGAACAGTGACATTTTTATTCAGAAATGTAGAAATCTAAGCATATACAGCATTGCAGCATGAAAGTCCCGTGAATTTTTTTTTCTTGTCTCATGCTTTCATTTATTACACTTTTTTAAGACAAACATTTACTTGAGAAACAGTATGGCAGTAATAGGTATGTAATGAGAAGCAGTATGTATTTAGAAGTCTAGAATGACAGGCATTCCAAGCTATAACAGGCAGTTCCCTACTATTACACATTGCTATCGTCAATGCAGTTGCCTAGGTCATAGGCATCAGCATATATAGTTAGTCAGGGTGGGAATCCTACCAATTACCTGCTAGTTTCAAAAACATGCTAAAGGTTCTAAGAATCATTGCCTTACCAATCTTGTGCATATAAATGTATGGCTTTGCACCTGTCATGTCCTAGTTTTTCTCCTTGCCCTCTCTTCATTGTGCAATCCTCAATTTCTCACTTTCCTTTTAATTCTGTTATACCTTTCTATTTTTATTTCTTCTTTTGAGTTCTTATACTAGGAAGATTGTATGATATTTACACATGTGGTCCTGGTTTATTTCACTTATGAGTATATCCTTAAATGACATCAAATTAAAAATAAAGGCTTTGAGTTTATCATTCTTTATACTTGAATAATACTCCATTGTGTAAAAATACCAAAGTTTTTCATCCATTCTTCAGGTAACAGGCATCATGGTTGTTCCAAGATTTGGCTCTCAAAAATTCTGCTGTTTCCAATATAGGTACATATATATCAATTATGATATGAAGTTTTCAGTTCCTCCGGGAAAATTTCCAATGGGGGATATCTGGTTTGAATGGGATTTGTAGTCCTAGATTTTAAGGAGGATCCACACTGATTTCCATAATGATTGCACCAGTCTACATTCCCACCAGCAGCGAAGAAATGTTCTGTTTTCCTCACATCCTATCCAACATTTGTTGTTGGTTGCCTTCTTTATGATAGACATGCTTTCTGGGGTGAGATGGTATCTCACTGTTGTTTTATTTCTGTTTCACTGATGACTAGTGCAATGGAGCATTTTTTCATATATTTCTTCAATTCTTTAATTATGTTCTCTGAGAAGTGTGTATTCATCTCAGATGCCCATTTCTGGATTGGGTCTTCAAATTTTAGGGCCCTTTTTTAGTTCTTTATAAAAACTAGAAATCAGACCTCTGTCTGAGTGCTTATTAGTTGCA